AAACATTTGGCAAGAATATATACACTACTGCAGTAAAATGCACACTGCTATAACTGGCAGAGTTATTAGTACTGGCCATTGTTTCAGGTGCTCCTAAAGTTTTAGGGAGGGAGGGAGGGAGGGTGTTCGTCCTACATGCAAGGGCTGTGCTGAATTTGTGCCACTGCAATTCTGGCTTCCTGGGGCGGGAGTGGTTGAGGAGTCTGAAATGCTTGGTTCTTGGAAGTGGTCCATTGGCCTTTTGGCAGCTGCTTTGGCAACACCATGGTCATTATTTCCTCCCAGATATTACATTCTTCCTGCCAGCTATGTGACTCCACCAGAAAGCAGCCAAAAGGAGGGACTCCTGTTGAAGGCAAAAGCACCAGCAAACGGGCGTTCTTCTACTTTGACTTTGCTTTATTAAATTCCGATTGTGGTCATAGGATTCGTAATATGAATTTGTAAAAAGCAATGTATACAGAAAGCAGTTGTAATGTAGAGTAACAGTTGTAGTTGTAAGTGCAAAATGATGCACATTGGAGCCAAAAATCCTAACTTATAAATACACGTTGATGGGGTCTGAACTGGGAGACTGACCAAGAGAGAGATCTTGGAGTCATTGCAGATAACTCAGTGAAAATGTCAAGACAGTGTGCGACTGCAATAAAAAAGGCCAATGCTATGCTCCTGATTATTAGGAAGGGAATTGAAAACAAATCAGCTAGTATTATAATACCCCTGTATAAATTGATGGTGCGACCTTATTTGGAATACTGTGTACAATTCTGGTCACCGTCCCTCAAAAAGATATTATAGCATTGGAAAAAGTGCAGAAAAGGGCAACTAGAATGATGAAAGGGTTGGAACACTTTCCATATGAAGAAAGGTTAAAGCGCTTGGGGCTCTTTAGCTTGGAGAAACAATGGCTGAGAGGTGACATGATTGAGGTTTATAAGATTATGCATGGGATAGAACAGGTAGAGAATGAAGTACTTTTCTCCCTTTCTCACAATACAAGAACTCGTGGACACTGAATGAAATTGCTGAACAGTTGGGTTAGAACAGATAAAAGGAAGTACTTCTTCACCCAAAGAGCGATTAACACATGGAATTCACTGCCACAGGAGGCGGCAGCGGCTACAAGCATAGGTGGCTTCAAGAGGGAATTGGATAAACATATGGAGCAGAGATCCATCAGTGGCTATTAGCCACAAGGTATAGATAGGATCTCTCAGTCTGGGGCAAGTGATGCACTGTTTTCTTGGTGCTTGGAGGGGGTCAAGAGTGGGAGGGCTTCTAGTATCCTGGCCCCACTGCTGGACCGCCTGATGGCACCTGGTGTTTTTGGCCACTGTGTGACAGTGTTGGACTGGATGGGCCATTGGCCTGATCCAACATCGGCTTTTCTTATGTTCTCCTGTTCTGATGTTTTTTTCCGAAAGGGATGCATTCAGAACTACTTAGTCTTCAAAAAGTAGCCCCAAGGTACTTCCTGCTTGTGGGTCAAACACAAGAGCAGCTGTGCCGGATCAGGCCATCCAGTCCAACATCCTAGTTCCTACTGTGGCCATCCAGTTATCTTCAGAAGGCTGCAGGCAAGGCACAGAAGCCAAGGCCTCCCTTTGTGGTCACCCAGCACTGCGATTCAGAGTTCTATTGTTGTGAAAATGGACTTTGCATGTAGTCATTGTGGCTAATTGCCATTCATGGATGGATTGTCCATACATTAGTCTAATCCCCTTTTAAAGCTAGCTAAACTCCTGTGTCAGGTGGCAGTGAATTCCATCAGCTTATCATTCTTTGCATGATAAGAGTACATACGTGTCGATTCTGAATCTGCTGCTCATCAACTTTAAAGTTTAAGTTCTAGCATTTGAACTCTAGAAAGTTTTCCTCCACCTCATACATAATTTTATAAACCTCCATTGCATTCCTCCACTGGGTTGAATCAAGCAAACCTAAGTGCAGGCTCTACTCACAGAGCAAATCTTTCCTGCCCTCCCCTTTCTGCGGGCATGAATCACATTTTTGTGCTTCAGTTCAGTTCGTGTTTTGTAGCTGAAGTATGACTCGAACCACGAACTGATCCAAACTGGGAGGTTGGCTTGCAAAACTGGTTCATGAGCCATTTAAATTTTAACCCTTGCTTTCTGCTCCCCACTCCCATCGGGCACTTGAAGCTGTGGCTGGTTGGCTCCGACTGAGTCGATTGAAACTAAACCCGGCGAAGACGGAGGTCCTGGGCCTGAGTCGGACCAGGACAGGAGTGGGGCTCCCTCTCCCGACCTTCGATGGGGTGCCTCTGGTGCCTGCGTCTGGGGTTCGGAGTTTGGGAGTACACCTGGACTCTGCCTTAACGATGGAGACCCAGGTGGCAACCACTGTCAAGTCCGCCTTTTTCCATCTTCGGCGGGCTCGGCAGTTGGCCCCCTACCTGGACCGTGATGATCTGGCCACAGTGATCCATGCGACGGTCACCTCGAGGCTAGACCACTGCAACGCTCTCTACATGGGGCTGCCTTTGTCGCAAATCCGGAGGCTGCAACTGGTGCAGAATGCTGCGGCCAGGCTGTTGATGGGTCTCTCTAGAAGGGACCATATTCAGCCTGTGCTGAAAGCGCTGCACTGGTTGCCAATAGCGTACCGGATTCGTTTCAAAGTGCTGGTTCTTACCTATGAAGCCCTATATGGTCTGGGTCCAGCCTACCTGAGGGACCACCTTTCCCCGTATGTTCCCCCAAGAGCACTACGGTCTGGGGCCCGAAATTTACTAACTGTACCGGGCCCCAAAGATGCCAAATTGGCCGTCACGAGGGCTAGGGCTTTTTCGGTGGCGGCCCCCGCCTGGTGGAATGAGCTCCCGGAGGAGATCCGGGCACTGCGGGACCTGGTGCAGAAACATCTGAATTTACATCTAATTTTTGAAGACACGAAATGCCTACAGGGATGTTTGGATGTGGTTATCATCTCCCTTGAGGTTCTGGAATTGAGGTTTTCTGAGCACTTTATAGTACTGAAATGGTTTTAAATTGTATAACGTGTTTTAAATGTTACTATATTATTTGATGTTTTATCACTGCAAGATTTCTTGCCATGTAAGCCACCCTGAGCCCTACGGGGGAGGGCGGGATATAAGTTTAACAAATAAATAATAAATAAAATAAAATAAAGCAAACAGCTGAGCGGCAGGGAGCTCAGCAGGTTTTTATGAAGAGTGCTCTTCACAAATGGTGTCAAAATCTGTGAAGGTTTGTGGTGGTTCTTCAGTTTGTGAACCACAAACCAGCCAGAATTCGTGATGAACTTTTGCTTGTTAGCTGGCTCATGCCAATCTCTAGTTGGAGGAACTGTTGAGACAGTATGGGGTGTGCTATATGATATTGAGTGGAAAACTGTGGATGCACACTGCCGTCCACAAGCAGACCTGCTTCCCAGGTACACAGTGGCACCTTTGAGTTTAAGTGGGTGCCTGGTGAAATGTTGGTGTTTGATCGTTGCTACCCTTAAGTGTAAGTAGTTACACTTGGTTTTCAGTGGTTAGTACTATGTTCCTTAAATGGCAAGCTTTTGCAGCTAACTAAAGGTAAAAGGTAAATGTTTCCCTTGCTTGAAAGCCAATCAAATCCGACTCTAGGGGGCGATGCTCATCTCTGTTTCCAAGCCGAAGAGCCAGCGCTTTCTGAAGACGTTTCCATGGTCATGTGGCCAGCATGACTAAACGCCAAGGCGCACGGAACGTTGTTACCTTCCCATCGAAGTAGTATCTATTTATCTACTTGCATTTCTTGCTTTCGAACCACTAGGTTGGCAGGAGCTGGGCCAGACAGGAGCTCACTCCGTCACACAGCACTCGGGTCTCGAACTGCCAAACTACAGACCTTCCGGTCTGCAGCTCAGCGTCTTAACCTCTGAGCCACCGTGGCCCCATACAAATAACTACAAAATCATTAATTTCTCAGATTTCATTAACAACTTTGTAATTGTGTTATGAGAGCATCACTTCTTGTACTTTTATCTGCAGTTGAATTCAGTCTTTTAGTATTCAGTGTTCCAAATGGCTTATACTTTAAACCAAAATTTGGATGGGTGTCAAACTTTCCTTAAGTAAACATCTGCATAAAAAAACCTTTTAACCCTCAGATTGTCTCAGTGAACACCAAGATAGTTTTGAATCGGTTAAGTGAAGGATTGGTGCTTGGGGAATAACAGCAGCGTCTATATTTGCTAACAGAATGCTGATTTAGTCAGTGAGCATACTGGAAGAAATATAAGTGACACTTGATGGGTTTACAGGTGAAGTTGTGAACCAGACCAGGGCTTACTATGTGAGATCTGAGTGTGTATGTGAGTTTTGTGTTCACTCACGGAGATGCGTTTCCTTTTAGTTGATAAACAACGGCCACCGTCGTCAAGCCCTTCCAGTGTTTCTCGCCGCACGCCTTCTCTAGACATACTAGCTGCTCCCTACCTTGCTGGACAATGGCCTCGTGAGAATCACGGACAGGCAGCACCTTGCATGAGAGACAAGGCTACACAGGTAAGCTGCAAATGAAATTCTGTGACGCATGTATATATTGTGTGTATTGCATACTTTCTGTGCCAGATGCATGGGCATTGGGGACTGTTCAGTTCCTGGGTCAGGATGACACTAAGGTCTCTGTTGAATTTGTCCCAGTGGATGAATGAGCAGACTAATGCTGCTGGGGTGGTTCCAGGTTTAAAAACTGAGCCCTGGAACAATGGAGGGGGCAAGAGAGGACGGGGGCTGGGTTGGAATACTCATCTCATTTTTCCTTCGTGGGGCATTGTGGCCTCAGCTGCTGGAAATGCTCCTGCATATTGAGGGCCAGGACCATATGTGCTAGCTGTAGCTGTTGTGGCAGAGCTTTAGCAAGAAGCTCTGTCTGCACATTAGGGGAATGGAGGTTACTCACTGTGAAAGGGTAGGGAAAGTGCGACGTTGAAGTGGCAGATGGACGTCAAAGCAAGGGGAAAGTGGGTGACATTGGGGGCATTCACGAGATAAACAGCTGAAGGATAAGCACCTCCTCGTCTGAGTTTCCCGTACCCTGGGCTGGGCTCCCGTACCCTGGGCTGGGCTCCGGCACCTGTTGATCCCTCGCAGAACAGTTGGGGTCAGCTACAGGGCTGCCCCTCTGCTGCCAATTCTTTTGCACTGCAGTTCAGAAGTTGGTTCATTCAGCACTATAAGCAGCTTCTAAAATTTCTAAGATCAATTTCTAAAACCTCGTTTCCTCTTCTTTCTGCTGTATGTAAATAGTCTACAGCCAGGGGTTTGCAAGTGATAGATTATTCCCATCATTGGTGCCGAAGTCCTGTTCATAAACGTTCAGGGAATTGCTAATTATGGGCACGATTTAACTTTGGGGGAGAAATTGCTGCCATCAGAGGCAAATTGCATTGTTCTAGTGCAGTGAGGGCATTTGATTTCCCAAAGGCAAATTTTGAGGAAGTTAAACTAGAAATTTGTTAGACCGTTTGCTGTTTATCAGTTGTTTTTTTAAAAAAACATAATCGGCTAATGTGGAGAGAAGAGTTGAATGACTGAAGAATAATATTCTGTTGCTAATACTGAACTGCCAGTCTGTGAATGTGCACGTATTACAATATTAATGTTATGCACCAACTTGGTCAGGGCTTTTAAGGGGAACGGCATATTCTGTACAAAAGACATGGCCTCAAAGTCAATGCAGGCTCACTGTTGTGGCCATAATTGTGCCTGTAGTTCCATCATATCAATGTGAGTGCTCTGCCCATTTGAGGCAAAGCTTGATGAAGGAATGCAGTGTAAAAAGCAAAGTATCCATTGGCTGAAAATGCTTGTTTCTTCCCTGGAGTGTTGTACATAACCAGATATTAAACAGCCCCTTCCCCCTGTTTGTGCACTAAACCAGGTTCACAACTTCCTGGTCTGATCAGCCTCCAGTTTGCTGTGATGTCCAAATGTAGGCACCTCAGCCTGTTGAAGTTTGTTTATTCCTGCAAACTGGGTTTCTGAATCTCAGTTTAATCCAAATTTGTGGATCAATAAACTCCAGGTTTCTGAGGTGCCCACATACCGATGTCAGAGCTACTTCATCTTGATCAAATGGGGAAGTTTTGAATGCAATGAGTGGTGGGAAGAGTGAAGAGGTCACCCAAGCACAGAGACAGCTCTGTGTATTGGCACCTTGTTGCAACATCATAATGATATCTGCATTCTTTGCTGTATGCAAAATGGAAGTGCACACACGTTGCCTTCATCCAGTAGCCAGTTCCACAAATGCAGTATCTCTTCTTGACACTTAAATTCAGCTGCAGCAGCCATGAGTAGATCCTGTATGCCCCTGGCTTGCACATCTTCCTTCCACTTAAACTGGGCCAAGCTTGTTTCTGTGGAGGACATGTGGCAGGGGGGTACCATGAGTGCCGTTTCACATATCTTGCTGGTGGAACTTGTGTCCATATGGATAATATGTTTCATTTCAGGAAATGGCAACTGCCTTGGCTAATGGTTTACTTTTGTGAGATATGTGACAGTCACGAAGGATTGATTAAATCCAGTTGGCTTTGGTTATTGAGTCAAAGATTCCAATTTTCATTCACTTCTTGATAAGCATGTTTAGGAATTTGTGATAGCAACTGAAACATATCAGTTTGCAACCAAAATGACGTATTATATGGTTATCTGCAAGCACAGTCCAAAACCTTCGCTCATGTAGCTTTCTTGGATTTGGTTGTGGATTTAGAGGGAAGAATTTGTAATCTTAATGATTTCTCTCTGGTAAGTGCTTGTGCAGGGACACTGAGTGAGAACTCTTGCATGAAGATTAATCACTGAGAATATTCTAGAAGCTAGGGCTGATTTTGCTTAGAACAGGACATCTCCATGAGGTAGAAAGAAAATGGCGATTCCTGTTGGCTGAAAGGCTGTTCTGCAAACTCTGAATTTGCCTGCAAACAGTTTTGTTTATTTAAAACAGCAATGTTTATTTAAAACATTGTTTATGCTGCCTTTTCACCTGATCAGGGACCCCAAAGCGATGCACATAAAAATATTAAAATATTTGAACAATTAAAAACAATGATAAAATAACTCAAAGCACAAATAAGCCTCTGTTATTAGTTTGTTTCTACGTTGGATACATTTGCTGCCATTATATGCATAGAAAGATAGATTTTAGTGCAGTGCAACAGGGTCATGGTTTTAGAGTGACTAGACTTTTGATACCTTGGTATAAAAAATCAGGACATTTTAAATGCTTTTAACCTGATTCTGATTTTAATCATTGGTTTTTGTTTACCCACATTCTACTGAGCCTATGATTCTTTTTTTTTTTTTAATTGCCTGTATGTGTTTTTTTTTTGTAGACTGAGAGTGCTTGGGCGGAAGAGTATTTGGAAAAGAAGAAAGGCTCTCATAAGCGTTCAGCATCTTGGGGCAGTACAGACCAGCTCAAGGAGGTTGGGAACCCCATTGTGTTTGTATTCAGCATTGCCACAGCACATGCACGTGCCTGCGCTCTTTGTCCACGTGCCCAGAAGTGACTGCCTTGCTACCTGTAAATAAGAGGAGAAATACAGGTCAAAGGAATACCAAGCCAGATCACCTGCTTGCCTGGCCTCCAGGCAGGAAGCAGTACAGAAAAGAAAGATCAAATGGGGAACAGAATATCACTGTGGAGAAATTAGTCTGCTAGGCAAATCATTATTGTGACTTCTGTGATATTGAAATAACACTAGGAAAGTAGGACCTGGTGTAAGTAGGACAGTAAGAAGTTACTGGCACTAAAAGATGACACTAACTTCTTACTGTCACCTTTTTAGTGTTTTTATAATTGCTAGAACCATCATGTATACAAGGTTGTCAACTTCTTCAGTTTGATTACAGTGTACTTAGGATATTTTCACAGTAGAATGCCTGATGTGACTGGGTAGCCTTCATTTACTCTTTGGACTGACCCTCATGGGAAGAGGAAGGTGGGAGATTACATGCTGATAGCACAGGCTCATCTTGGTCACGGGTTCTCATGGAGCAGGGGAGAATCTCTTCAGCTTGCTTCTCCAGGCCCTAATGAAGACGCTGGTACTCAGAGTGTTGGACTGGATGGGCCTTTGGCCTGATCCAACATTGGCGTCTCTTATGTTCTTATCTGAGCATCAGTCTTCCTGCTGCTCCCTCCTGCATTGAAGGACAAGTGCAGGTCTGTGACAATGACCTGCCTCTGTGAGAATTCCAGAACACGAGTGGGATGGCTGTCCCCAGCTGGACTTCAGTAGCGATGGAGGCAGACTGAAGTTGTCACCCGCCTGAGTGGATGAGGTGGGGTGTGCGTGTGTGTCTGGTCGTGCTGGCAGCATGTTGTGGGTGGGAGAGAATAAACTTCTTAATTTTTAGCAAGCTGGCAACTTTTCCAAAATAAAGCATCTGGTAGAGTAAGAATACGTAATGTACACTTTGGCAGGCAAGTATGGAGAATGTCCCTGCTATAAAATACAGGAAATCTAAAATGCTCGCTGTTCCCATCAGATTGCCAAACTACGACAACAGCTGCAGCGGAGCAAACACAGCAGCAGGCACCATCGCGAGAAGGAGCGGCAGTCCCCGTTCCATGGCAATCATGCAGCCATTAACCAATGCCAGGTGAGATCATGTTACTTAACATAAAGTTCAAATAACTTTCCAAAGTGACTGCTAAGGATGTGCTGTGTCGTCTTCATAGCACGTGAACGAGCCATGTTCTAGTTTTCCTGTTTCAAACTAGAGAGGTGTGTAACCTTGGTTGTCCTCGTTTGGGGTTTCAGGCCCCCGTCCCAAAGAGCGTGCTCGTCCCTGTGATACCAATCACCAAGTCGACGGGTTCACGTTTCCGCAACAGCATAGAGGGACTTAATCAGGAGATTGAAATAATCATAAAGGAGACGGGAGAGAAAGAGGAACAATTAATCGTGAGTACATGCTTGCCATTGAAGATATAACCCCTAACCACGTGTGGTATTTAATGCTTTTAAACTAATAACTGGGTGAGCTTATTGTAGAGCGCAGAAGAGAAGCAAACAAATTAGAAAACTGGTGCTGCAGTGTGAAGGGCAAGGATTTTTTGTACGGCAGTATTTTGACACGGAGTCTATGCCAGGAAGGCTAGTCAGTCACAAGGACCACTGGGCATTATTCCTAGAAGTATCCGCCTAGCTGTGTGCTAAATATTTTCAAGACTAGGTGTGTGTGTGTGGGAGTATCTGGAAACACTTCTTCAAGGAGAAGCTGAGACACTTCCACAGGGGTGATGTGGAGCCTTGCTACAGGCGATGCTTTTTTGTGTGAGATCATCCCTTCAGAATCCTCTTAAGTAGATATATTTTGTACTTCCTTGGAATGCCTTCCCAGACCCCAAATCTCCTTAAGTTTGGCTTCCATCTTTGTTGTTGTTGGGAGTCTGAAGAATAACTAATCTTGTGCTAAAGAGCTTTATTGAAGGAGAGGCCCAAAATAGTCTATTGACATGTAAAGTAATTCCTAACCAGACGAGATTAGTAGTCTCCTACATGACAAAGCGTATATAATACACATTCCCTTCCAACAGCCGCAGGATATTCCAGATGGGCATCGAGCCCCACCTCCTCTGGTGCAGCGCAGCAGCAGCACTCGCAGCATCGATACGCAGACTCCCGGTGGAGCAGAGAAGGGCAGTAACAACAGCAGCCGGTCCCAGTCCGTGTCCCCGAGTTCATTTCTTGCCATCTCCAATGAGGGCAGTGAGGAGAACCCGTGTTCTGCTGATGATCTGCTTGTGGATTCCAGAGATAAAGGTACTCCCTGAAGAAGTACTTTGGCCATGGCTTGAAGTGCATGTTCTCCTTTTGCCCTTTTAACAATCTTTTGGCCTGGGTCCACTGAGCGCAATGCTCTTCTGGGGACATACCAGGAGAGATGGTCCTAAAGGTATGCTGGTTCCAGACTGTATAGGGCTTGAACTTAACCCAGTATTCAACTGGAAGCTGGTGCAGCTGGCTGAGCACCAGATGTATATGTGCTCTTAATGGTGTTCCTGTCAGAACATGTGCCACTGCATTCAGGACCAGCTGAAGTTTCTGGATCAAACTCAAGGGTTGCCCTGCATAGAGTGAGTTGCAGTAGTCCAGCCTGGAGGTGACCATTGCATGGGTCACTGTGGCTAGGTCAGGGGGAGAGAGATAGGGAGCCAGTTTCCTGATCTGGCGATGGAAAAACGCTGATCTGGCAATGTTTGTGACTTGGGCCTCCATAGATAATGAGGCATCCAATGTCACACCCAACCTCGTCAATAGCTGGGAGTTGGATCCCCATCCCCCCTCCCTCGGCCCAGGCACACAGGACACAGGTCTTTGATGATTTTAGTTTCAGTTGACTCTGTTTTAATCACCCAGCTACAGCCTCTAAAGCCCTGACCAAAACATCTGGGGTGGAGTCCGTCTGTCCATTAACAGATGTAGCTGGGTGTCATCAGCATATTGATTGCAGTCCAGCCCAAACTTCCGGACCAGCTGGGTTAGGGGGCACATGTAGATGTTAAATAACATGGGGAAAAGAATCGCCCCTTGTGAGACACTGCATACCAGAGGTTAACACAGCGAGACTCTTTCCCTGACTGTGGAGAAAAGAGAGAAGCCACTGTAAGGCTGTCCCACGTATCCCCACATTGGCAAGGCAGTGAGTTGAAAAATCATAATCGACTAATAACAGCAGCGCCAATCAATCCAAGTGCTTCCAAAGATCATCTGTAAGGGTGACCAGCGCCATCTCTGTCCTGTAGCCTGGGCGGAAGCTGGACTGGAATGGATCCAGGATCAAAGAGTCCTCCTGGAAGACCTGGGGCTGTTCGGCTACTACTCTTTCAACTACCTTACCCAGGAACCAAAGAGCATTCTCACCACAGCCTCCTTTAAAGCCCCTGGAAAAGTCCCTGAACTCAGGGATAAGTTGATAATACCTTCCAGGGGGGCCCGTATCCCATCACTGCTGGCTTTCATGGGCCATGATGGGCATGGGTCCAGAAGGCATGTGGTGGGCTTCACAGCCCGCAGAATCCTGTCAACCTTGTACTGGGAGAGTGGACTGAAGTGTGGAATTTGCTGCCAAAGGATGTAGTGATGGCCACAGGAGTAAATAGCTTTACAGGGGGATTAGATAGATTCATGGAGGATAAGTCTGTCAATGGTTTCCAGCCATGGTGACTGAGGGGAACCTCCACATTCAGAGGCACTAATCCTCTGAATCCCAGAGCCAGGAGGCAACATCAAGGGAAGGCTGCAGCCTCTGCGCCCTGTTGTTGGCCTTCCAGAGGAACTGGTTGGCCACTGTGTGAGACAGGATGCTGGACTAGGTGGACCACTGGTCTGATCCAGCAGGGCTCTTCTTATGTTTTTATGAAGGCCTTGGCCGCTGTGGCATGTTGTTTGCCCTCTAGAGATCTTCTGCAGATCTAACATGCTGGTACATGAGACTCTCTGCATGCTTAGAGGAAAGATGTTCACAGAACTCCAATAAGACGGTGCAATAAGACGGTGCTTTATACTTAGAATGCTTTTTCATCTAGCATGGTCTGTGAGGCAATCAAGGATGAGAGAAGCGAGGAAAGTGATTTATTGTGTATTTGGGTATATTTAATTAATTGATGATCTGCTCCCTTCAGAGAATGGAAACAACTCTCCGCTGCCCAAATACGCCACCTCACCAAAACCCAACAACAGCTACATGTTCAAACGTGAACCTCCTGAAGGCTGTGAGAAGGTGAAAGTGTTTGAGGAAAGCTTGTAAGTAGCTCTGCACTTAAAAGAACTAAAACTTGAGTGTTAACAGACGTTTGCATATATCTGTGGAACTCAGGGCCTTAAGGCCGGGCACCCAGTTTTGCTGCTTTGACAGCTTGTAATTCAGCGGTTATTGAAAGCCAAGTGCAATCTGTTTTTCAGAGACTGTTACAGATAGCAGGGGGAGAATCCTAAACTGCTCCATCAATGCAGACTGTTGATAAGGACCCAACGTGATGACTTTCTGGTCAAAGAGTTAAGATTGTGAATCTCTTCAGTTTGCAACTTCTGGCTGTTCTTGGAAGCCAGGCACAGTTTGGACTGAAGGACCATTTCTCCTGTGCTGTTCAATGCCTCCAAAGTCCACACCACACCTTTGGGGTGAGGCCTCAGCTCTTCTCACCAGTTCCACACGAGAAAATGTTGTGGTCCTCACCCTTCAGAAAGGAGGTGAATGTCTGGAGCAATGCTCCCTCTAAGATGTGGAGTCTTGTGAGCAAAAATTGTGTGCTACTGGCATTAAAGCTGTGAGCGAGCGATTTGGCTACTGCATAAATCCTTCCTGAGCCAAGACAAAAACGTGTGAACCAGAGGCTTAAAAACTGAGCTAGCTCACAGCAACTCAGCTTAGAGGGAACACTGGTCTGGAGTGTCTCCGAAGCTCAGTGTAAGACTAGGGATAACCACCACTTTTCTCTAGGCTCTGGGAGAAGGGGAAAGGTTTCACCCAACCTGATTAGGGAAGTAGTATTCAATTCAGATTTTGAAATAAAACTGAAGCGAACACAATTGCTTTTTGTGCTAGAAACTAAATAAAATTTGTCACAACGACATTGCCTCATGTGATTGGCATGGAAGCCTGGCACAGAAGCCTGAGAACTTGGGTAATTCCTAGCTTGGTGACACAGGTATGAGCCAAACAAGATTCCCCATATTTCAAAGTGAAATAATTACTAATTTAACAAGAATGTTAATTTTTGCTGGAATGAAAAACTGCCATTTTACATTATAACTGGCATCCTAAGAAGGATTTCTGTGGCAGAAGAGAGGAACACTTTTTGCTGATTCCTGCACCCTGTAGACCTCCAGCTCCTCTGATGTTCCTGTGAGGTTCCCCTGTCCCCCAGAAGCAGTATTTTGGGCTGCTGTGAAAGGGGGGCGGTAACAAGTCATGCTCTACGGATGGAAATTAGGGTTTTCGGTATACTTCAGTTCAGGTGTATTGGACCTGAAAGAATTTCAGTATTTCCAAAAAATCCTGGATCCCAGTACTGGTATGGTATTTGAATCTGGGATTTTTCAGAAATCCTGAATTTTTTTCGGGTCCAATAGACCTGAGAAGAAAAATACCGATGGCTTATCCTGCATCAATTTAAACCATGCCGCAGGAGAAGCTGGCCCCAGGATCTGTTTGTGGCAGGGGGGGTCTCACACCGCTGCATGCAGACCTAGCTGGGAGGCTTCTCCTGCCAGGTGGTTTGAACTGTGGGACGGGAGAAGCTGGCCCTAGGACCTGCATGTGATGGGGAGGTCTTGTCACCACTGCACACAGACCTGGCTGGGAGGCTTCTCCTGCCGCTGCAAGAGGAGCCCACCAGCCATTGGGTATATACCTAAATAAAAGCAAAAAACCCTGGCTTTTATTCAGGCTCAGCTATACTGGTAGCCGATCAGATTCTCTGCTCTAATTTCAACTTAAACAATACTCGAAAAATACCAGTAAAGTATTTTTTGGGTATTTTTTCAGCTCGGTTGTAAAACTGTATCTTAGAGTCTTAGACCGTCTTATATTGTGCTTGTTTTGGAGATGTTGGGTTCTACGGGACTGTTTGCCAGATTATTAAGGATGATACTAAGCCTAACTAGAAGCAAATTCATTGAAATCTTGATTGAATTCTGGTGTTCTTCTCTGGTAGACAGCAAAGGGCGGGCTGGTGGTGGCTATGAAGCTTTTGTGCTTCTAGAAATGCTATAAAATAAAAATATTGACACAGCTTCGTCCAGTAAAATGATGTTTTTAACTCTTTCACATGTCTTAATCTTGGAGTGCCATGGCAACCACTCACTGTATAACAGTAAAAAGGGAGTGATTAAAGCTGTGGTGCTCCCTTGTGTAATGTGGTTATGAACGCTTATGTAATTTTCAATGTACTTAATTCTTGGAGGACTTCATATTTAACCCTTAAAAATAGAAAAAGGCTCTTATTGCCATAGGTTAAAACCTAGTTTTCTCTTTTTCATGGTTTTTCTTCTCTTTGTAGGCCAAAACCCTTACATGAAATCCCACCTTTTTACTGTCCCGACAAGAACAAAGTAAACTTCATTCCAAAAAGTGGTTCTGCTTTCTGCCTTGTCAGCATCCTCAAGCCCCTTCTTCCCACCCAAGATCTTACTCTCAAGGGTGCTAGTCACAATCTGACCGTCACATCTGCGATGACACCTGCTTTGCTGCAGCCAATTGCCATGGCGTCCCTGTCTGCCAGCACAGACCAAGATCGGCTCTCTCGCAGCTCAAGTAAAGTGATACCACAGATGTCCGTGTTCCAGCCGTCAGGACATAGTGAAGAAGCTGAAGGATAACCTCTACGACGTTACCTTCTGGGGGCAACCTTTTTGAAGTTAATCGTGATTTTAAGCCTTCCTAATCGCATCTGTTTGCGTCATAATTGCTGGCAATTCCATAAACCGCTAAACAGGTCATGTTAGTATCTTGATCTCCATGATTGATCACCTAGGTGTGAGATCTAGGAAAGAGAGATGGCAGCATTTGTCTTGTGAAGGCTCAAGATCAGTCCGTGGTCTGCACTTTTCAAAAGCTTTGGTACTATAAAGAATGAAGACACCCATAATGCTATACAATTGGAAGGACCAATTTTTCTGACGCTTTGGGTCCCCATTTGAACTCTTCCTTTTCCTTTCAAAACAAAGAACAGAAATCGAGAAGTCTGACGTACCAGCTATTCCCAGCAAAATATCTGCAAAGGGAAAACAAATGACACTGTAAGATCATTAGTTTGTACAAAAATGTTTTATTTTCCAATCTTGTGTTTTCTGATGTGCACAGAGAACAGGCCGTCCCGTAACTTTGGGCCACATCATTCCCACTGTTGGGACCAAAGGACTGAGACTGTCCAGCAGTCTTGTCATGTCACCATGTTTTAATTCCTTCTTCCAAATAAGCCTAATATTCTTCAAACTGAAAAAAGAAAAAGGAAAAAAAAAAGGAAAGCAATATTGGTGTATTGTGTGCATTTGGTGGGGGGGGTGGGGCAGCGGGAGGTGGATTAGCACTCGCATTAGAACTGTTTGTCCGGGAATAGCGTTTTAGAGCACTTCGGCCAGTCATGTAACGGGTTGTTCCTCGTGTTGTGTTTCAGAACAATTCGCCCCCCCTCTCTCCCCCCCCCAAATGCCAATTGACTGTCACATCAGTGCCTCTTGGGATGTCTTGGTTTCCTGTGTTGCTGTCGAAGTCTTGCCTCGCCTTTGGCCCATACCTGATCTGATCATGTCTCGCCACTGTACTTTATAGGCTCTCATCATATGACCTTGAAATGGCCGTGCATGTTTCTTCCCGCTTGTCCAAGTACTGTTTTGTGGGTCTGTTGAGGGTAATAGTTTGCAAGGCATGGTATGTGTTAAAGCAGTTTATCTTCAGTGGACATAGTCTCCTTTCGGACTAGCAATATTGTTAAGCTAAGAACTTTTTGATTCTTAGTATTGGTCTTCAGATACTTCCCACTTCTTTTCTTTTATGTGCGTGTGATTTTTTAAATTACTGTATCATAGTCAAGAAACAGGAAGGAGTTTCTGTTGCTAGATTGGCCTGCAAATGGCGCCAAACTTCTCTGGATACAAAATTGTATTTTCCTGAATTTCAGTAGTCCAGCCTGAGCTAGTGCAACTCTAATGGCTACTTCCAATACCTCTTCAAAGTTGCTAATACTTGTGAAGTGGGCGTAGTCATTTAGAAGGGATTTTTGATCTGTAATCGATCAAAATTAATTGCAGCCAACTATGAAGTTATAGGAAACTAATCTTTGAAAAGTAACAATGTCTTGAGGCACATTAGCCAGCGTGGTGTAGTGTTTAAGTGTGACAGACTCTAATGTGGAGAACTGGGTTTGATTCCAGGGCTGTAGCTAGTGCAGGGCTGTATGGGGTGACACCCCCTCTTGAATCTTTTCAATGCCCCCACCCACCGAATCTTAGAGCCCACCCTGCCATTTTTTCTGTCGCGCCCCCTGCCCGCCCTTTCTTCCAGGGCTGTAGCTAGTGCAGGACTGTTTGGGGTGACACCCCCTCTCAAATCTTTTCAATGCCCCCACCCACCGAATCTTAGAGCCCACCCTGCCATTTTTTCTGCCGCGTCCCCTGCCTGCCTTTTCTTCCCTTGCCTCTGCTGCCGCTGCCGGAAAACAGCCAACCGGCCTGCCCAGTTCTGACTCCTAGCCTTGGCGAGGCCTGCAGCTGCATGGCCCCACCCAGCTGCCTCACTCAGCCAGAGTTGGGCAGGCCCAATAGGCTATGTCTTCTGAGTGTCCCTTTCAACTGTTCCAGGCCAAATATGGCTTGGCCTCCGGTACTCTTCCTCCTGGCTGATGCGGGGCTGTGGGAGTGTGTTTGTTGACAAGGGTTTCCAAGCAGACTGGTAGGAAAGAGATTGCTCGTGCTGAGTTTCCCAGTCATAGGGAGGGGGCATGCCATTATGCTTAACCACACAGCCTCCTTTGAATGGAGTTTGCGATGGCTGTGAAAGCGCTCTATAAATACACGTAACTAGCCACTCTTCCAAACTTGGGGGCGGATGATTTCCCCTGGCCTGATAATCCCACCCATCTTTCATACGGTACAATCCCTTTCTTGCCTAGCCCCTCTCACTTTAACAGCCTCTCTGCCACTTTCGGTTTCACGTCTTCTCTGCCTGGAACTATGCCCGATGTGTAAGACTGGGTTGTCATAGTTGCAGGCTCCTGTTTTCGTTGCAGGTTCAGTGGAACCCAGTGGACTTTACTTCTGAGTAAATGGCGCAGCGTGCGTGCTCCCCTTGCTGTTGGGCGCCTCTATTCTTCCCTCCCCCTCCATTCAGTGCCCCCCCCCAATCATCTAGTTATGGGGCCGTTTGATTCCCCACTCCTCCACATGAAGCCTGCTGGGTGACCTTGGGCCAGTCACAGTTTTCCCAGGCCTCTCTCAGCCCCACCTGCCTCACAAGGTGACTGTTGTGGAGAGAGGAAGGGAAGGAGATTGTAAGCCGCTCTGAGACTCCTTAGGGTAGAGAAATGTGGGCTATATAAACCAACTCTTCTTCTTCATTAAAGACTAGCATCAGTTTGTGGCATTAATGTGACCCATTCTGGATTAGCAGTCATTGATGATGAATACAGCATGGTGAATGGTGAGGAAGTGTTGTTTTGCCACTGGTTGAGGGTGAGTCACGCTCAAGTAGATTGGATCTTACGCTCTCATTTGTGGTATTGCAGTACCTTGGCATACCAGCTACTGTCTCCTGCATTGGTTGGTCTTTTGGCTTCACTTCATGTGAAACTCTTTTTCCTCTTGTGTTCTCAGGGTATATATATATCTGCCTATCCCCTTAAGTGACAGTTTCATGTGGGTACTCCTCTGGAATTCATTTCTTAAAACGAGGCTGTGTCACACCCTGCTTGTAAACATTGGTGTGTCTTTTTAGTTGTGCCCTACTCTTCTTTTCAGGGGTTATATTGGCAAAGCAAGATGGGTCACCCTATTCTGGGGATGGACCTGCTGGCATATCCAATCCTAGGATCCTTTTGCTACAAAAAATATTTACATCGTGAGGACAGAGTTCTTACTTTCAGAGTGTTGGATCCCCATTGCTGTTTTGCACTCCAGTTTAAAGTAAATTATGGCCTGCATGAGAAAACAGTAGAAGAGGAAAAACAAGGTCGACCTTAATGTACGTTATCTGATGTCGTTAACTTCTGTGGGTGCATGTAAGCTTTCTGATGAAATGTAATGTTGGCTTTGTAAAGTATGAAAAGATGGGCTACTTTTGTGCAAAAGTGGTATTTGTATTTTGTCAAAACCCAAGTTGACTCCTTCGGTTATCAGCTTCCTGGTTCCAGATTGCAGAATGGTTTTCAGGAGATCTTTTCATAGAGTACCCAAGAGCTGAAGTACTATTTTTGGAATCACATTTAAAATGTAGGTCTTAGAAACCCTTCAAAATCAGAGATCGTTTTAATTAATCACTGCAAGATGTGGTAAAATATCTTTCAATGCAAAACAAGTGGCCTCATTTCTGCTTGGAGCATTTCTTACATCTTAGGCATGGGATTCTCTCCCTGTGGCTGTGTAGGGGGCAAACTCTGCCCTCTCTTTGGAAACTGAAACCCACCAGTATCTGTTGCCACAAGCAAAGAGCCAATCCTGGCTTTCCTCCACCTTGGTGCAGGAGGTGCTTTCGAAGAGCCCAGGAAGTGCTGCCTTTGCATCTCCTGAGAGTGTGTTCAGAAGTAGTTGCCTCCATCATAGGACACTTGACAGGCAATTCCCCAACATTCTACAGCTGGCAGCCCTTCTGCTTTAGTGCTCGTTACCCTTTCGCATTCAAGAGGGCCCAGATTCTTAGTAAGTTGGAGACCCCTGCACCAGAACAAGGGTGCAGCTGTGTATAGCCCCCAAGATATTTCAGGCTGACCTGTGGGTGTGTTTTAGAAATGCAACACCCCACCTTTCATTAAGCAAACCATATGTAGTCCTCTTGGTTATAGTAATTTCGGAGCATTAAGGAATGTGGGCAGCTGCTGTCTGATCATTACTTTTCCACTTGAAGGCTGAGACCACTTGTCCAGCTCGCACCCGAAAGGTGGTGGTCGCCCATGGCAATACGCAGTTCTTAAATGGTTGATAAGATCTTCCAAGTCTTCCTTTGTACTTAGCTGCCTGGTTCAGTGTTGGTTTTGTCTCCTGCTGACACGGGAGTGGCTAATACAGAGGCATTTACAGAGGAAGGACAGAATTGAAAAGATCTTCCAGAAGCATGGAAGTGTAGCCAGCTTAGCTAGCTGAAAATCATGAGGATATCTTCCCCTCTGGTTACTAAGTTTGCCAGCATTTATATTACCCTGAGCATGACGAAGAATGTGGTAGAAACTGGGCAGGGTGAAGAGAGGGTGGATGTGTAAAGTATTTTCCATGATGGCAGTGACTTTCCCAGTCCCTGAGCTACAAGTTGCACTTGAATGTGTGTCAACCAAATGTGTTCTGATTTCCTAGCTCTCGAGGTGCGTACAGGCGATGGGCAAGAAAGACAACGGATGCATTGTCACCTTCCTTGCTCTTCCAGGGCAGCTCCTGGGCGAGGGAAGAGATTTGTGTTCAATATCTAACCTTCTAGGACCTCAGAAACAGGGGAAAAGGGGTCACTGAGCTGCCGCCTGAAAGGGGAACAAAGCAAATGCAGAGCTGTGTGTCTGCAGACCTGAAGGAGATGTCCCTTAAGAATGGGATCTTTGAATAGCAAATGTTTTGTTACCTAGTGGAAAGGCCATTGAAAGGCTAGGCCAAGTTAGGCAGCAAGTATCGCAAATGCAATAGAGGGCCTGAAAATCCTTGCAGCAGCATTACAGAGTTGGTAGTTAGCCCTGTGGAAGTTGCTGTTTTTTAAAAATTGAATGGTTGATGAAAACAGGAGTTCTTATGGTTTAGTCTTCTGTTTAAAAAACATCAGTGCTGCTTTACAAATTCTCAAGAGATGTGAAATTCTCTGAACTATTTTATAATTGGATATAAACTGTTAATAATTGAGCTGTGTCATATGAGACAAGGGTTGGTTTTAGTTAGATGTTGGCATGGCTCCATCGCTGTCTTGGGACAAGTTGTAAAATATTGTTGGCCATCATGTGTGCTAAAAACTGCTCCACAATACAGTCCTGTAGGCTTTTGAAGCGTCTGAAGGCCCAAGATCTGGAGGTCACGTTTCCTTAACTGGTGCATATCAAAAGCCCAGGAGGGTAACAAGGGAAATGATTCTCGATGAACAGTTAGCTGCTACACATGGATCCTTTCCTTGGTTTCTCGTGTCACCATCTTGTCTGGCTATCTGTGCCCTATTTAGACCTGTTCCAATGGAAATGTTCCTTAAGATGTATCTTTCTTTTCTACCTTAACTGTCTGGATATTGTGTCGTGTGTCTTGATCACAGCATCTCACTGCCAGTGGCATGTGATGTATTTTTCCTTCCTGGTTCACTCTCTCTTGCTCAAGACTGGCTATCCTGTTTTCTGCCAGTACTAGTGATACAAGACATTCTGGAGAAATCCACACATAATTTGGTAAATTGTATTTGCAAAGGCCAATGATGTTTGACTATGTAAGATTTTTTAAAAATCTTTTCCCTCTCAATGCACACCAGTGTGTTTGGGCATTTCTTGTTTTTCTATTGTTTTTATTTTAATGACAGATGTAAGACCTATGTCTGCAAGAAATTTTATTGAATTTTTTTACAAAAATGTTTTACTCACCTTTATGGGACTCGCACACTTTCAATAAATATTTCGAGTTAAGACTTGTCTGTTGTGTCAGTTGTTTGCTCTCAGCCAGGATGATAAAATACGAGGTGAGACTAAACTTACCTGTGATGATCAACAGTAATTCCAGTTTATTTTGTGTCCTTATCATACTTATTAAGCCCCCCCCCCCAACTTACTTTAAATTGTACAGCGGCTTCATTGACTTTCCTTACAAAAACACTACAGTTTGGATCCTAACCTTGTGAGAAACCCTGGTTTGCCTTGGGACTGATACTTTCTCTGGGTCTCAGTTCCTATTTTGTAAATGAAAAGAGAACTAAGTTGCTTTAGGGGAGAGCTATGAGGATTGTAACTGTGGCAGGTATAAAGTTCAGGAACCCCCCAAAAGCACTGAAGGGGTCGAAGAGTCAC